AAGGTCCCTTTTAAGAGAGCCAAAAGTAGGGTTCAGAAGGGGTACCCTTTAAGGGGTACCCCTAATAATACTACCACCCTAAACCCTAAACCCTAAACCCTAAACCCTAAACCCTAAACCCTAGAAACCCTAAACCTCAAACCCTAGAAACCCCAAACCCCAAACCCTAGAAACCCTAAACCTCAAACCCTAGAAACCCTAAACCCCAAACCCTAGAAACCCTAAACCTCAAACCCTAGAAACCCTAATTGGGGGCTCCCTTGCTTCCCTTGCCTTGGGAGCTAGGATTAGGGGGACCCTTGGGGATATAGACCCTCTCAATAAGGTCCCTTTTAAGAGAGCCAAAAGTAGGGTTCAGAAGGGGTACCCTTTAAGGGGTACCCCTAATAATACTACCACCCTAAACCCTAAACCCTAAACCCTAAACCCTAAACCCTAAACCCTAAACCCTAAACCCTATTGGGGCTCCCTTGCTTCCCTTGCCCCAGGAGCCTTGGGCGCGCAGTCCTCGGCTTGCACATGCACCGGGGCAGACTCTGGGGGGGAGAAGAACGGGTTTAGGGTTTAGGGTTTAGGGTTTAGGGTTTTGGGTTGAGGGTTGAGGGTTTAGGGTTTTGGGTTGAGGTTTAGGGGGTGTGACGGACTTGGGGTTTTTTCTTGCTCTAAACCGCTGGCAATAGAAATACGGCTTCAATCGCCCACTGGGTTTATATGAAAGTTATGCCGAAGGAACACTAAGGACCACCCGGTTGGGATGACCCCCAAAGCCGACGTCGGTCTTTCTATGAAGATCCAACAAAAGACTGAAGTCTAATTTAAGGAAACCTCAGAAGCAAGCAGAGCTACTGCAGGAGTGCAGAAAACGGCCTGTAGACATGGGGTCCTTAGGGCCTGACACGTACCTAAGCTACGGCGCGCTTTTCTGCAGGTTTTGCGGTTTGTTGGCTTTCGCTGTGGGTTCTAGGCGCTGCCCGGATAGGACTTTACTTAACTGTACTCGGGAAGGGGGGGTGGGGGGTGGCAAAAGTCAAGATAGTGCAGTTTCACCCTGTACACAAAACGTGCGACGCCCCAAGTTTTCAAGGCAGCATGGTCCCTGAAAGTCATCTTCACAAGCATGCCTGTACTTTCTCGACTTTTGCTGGCAGGTGCTGTGTGTTAAGAGCCCACTTCACCTAAACCTGCCTTCCGAAATCCCCTGCGGTAACTTACGAACGTGTGACCCGTTAGGGCACCAGTGAGGTTGTCCTTCAGGGCTTTAAGGAAAATTACTGGCAGTATGCCTTTGCAATGCCATTCTATAACTCTGCTATAGTATACCGCCTCAACCCTACACCCGAGGTTGTTGATCTTGGAATCGACACCCTGACTCACTGAGCACGTCTCAGAGCCATGCACATTGCACCCGAGAGTGCGCCGATGCACTCTCCGAATACATAGTGTGTAGTGTACTCTACCTGTCCGTGTTATATATATATATACACATATAGATACATATGCTATAATACAACACAACACAGTAGACTGCAATGTAAATTAACATGACACAGTAGTATAGAGCAGAACAGGCCAAAGTATAATGTAGTCATATAAAACATAACATAACATATAACATAATACATGCATATTGTAGATATGTATATATACACACGCATAGATATGTGTGTGTGCTTGTGCCAGTGTGTATGTATCTTGTAAACTATGATATGCACATATGTCGACATCTACATCTATATCTCTTCTTTATCTCTGTCCAGACCTACATCTCTACCTCTCTGCTTACATGCATACCCACCCAGGTGGAATTACTGGACCAAACTCAACTAAACTCGGCCGAACTAACCTATCCCTGCCACCAACCAACTCTGCTCAGACATGTATGCATGCATGTACGTATGTATGTACAGAAATATACACATACATATATATATATATATATATATGTATATATATATATATAGATAGTCAGTATAAGTATAGTACAGATTTAGCTATTAAATTATTTGTTTGCTTATATCTTATTACTTTTATATACATTTGTGTATATAGCCCTCTTATTTTGTATAGATTAGCCGCGTATTTTTGTGACCGGTACGCAAAGGCCTGCTCTCTACATGTTTGCTGCCGGAGTGCACAGGGGTGGAGCCAGTAATCCTCAGGAGCCTTGGTGTCCGGGTTGTCCAGGATCATCCTCGGAACTGCATCCTCCTCCTCGGAAGCTTTTAGGGTTTAGGGTTTAGGGTTTAGGGTTCAGGGTTTAGGGTTTAGGGTTTAGGGTTCAGGGTTTAGGGTTTAGGGTTTAGGGTTTATAAAGGCTGCAACGCTTTTTGGGACTTTAGGGTCTACAGGGCTCAAAGCTTGATAAAATAGAAGGATCCTTTGTTTGCGGCTTGAGCAGGGATTCCATAAACCCTAGCAGAACCCTAGGAGACTGATTCGTATCTGTACACATCTTAAGCAATTAGTTAAACAACTTCACCAGACCCTCACATAACCACTTCTGGGACCTTTTATCTTCAGGTTGCTTTGATAAATCACTGTACCCTCAACCCTAAACCCCTAAACCCCTAAACCCCTAAACCGCTAAACCCCTAACCCCTAAACCC